GACCCCTCCTCCTTCCCCTACCATCCCTGCTCCAACCAGAGACATCTGCTGCCTTAGCAGAGCTACCTAGGTAGCAAGGCTGCCTGTGCTTTGGAGATGAGCATTCCAGTCTGACTTTTTCTCTTGTGTCAACAGGATCCAGAAATGGGTGAGGGAGCCATGACCCTTCAGTACCATGTGGGCAGCCAGTCCTTTGATTACACACTCAGGTTCTCATTGTCACCATCAGCAGATGACAGGTGAGAAGGTAACACACTTGCTCACAAGGCAGAGTGGCACTGGCAAGGTCTGCAGGAGGGACAGCAGGTGTCCTTCACTTGCATTCTTTCCATTGTAACATGAGGTGGGAAGAGAATTCGGGCATCCACTGCTACCCTCTTGTTCCCTCTGCCCTGACCTTGGGAGGAGGACCTTGGTGGCCATAGCCCCACTGCCCCCTCCTCTCTACTTCACATGTCCCATACCCCTCCCCAAGGTGGAATGAAGATCTAACTCCCTGCCCCCATAGGCTGCCTGTGCACCGCTTGGCCATGATGCACCTGCTGTGGAAACTGTTCTGGGAGGGAACAAGCAGGGCAGAGGACATCTGGCAGAGCACCGTGAAGTCCAGCCTCAGCCTGGGGGTTCTTTCCCCCTTCACATCCCATGTGGCAGTGCGCATGGAACAGAGGAATGCTGGGCACTGTGGTAAGACCAGAAATGGTGGGGATAGAACTCTGGGGAAGGAAGTGGGACTTGTTGGTCTGATGCCTCCACAACCATCTCCCCTATCCTGTGGACTCAAGGTCCTGTGGTGTCAAAAGGACACCATCCTTTTGCCTATCTCATGAGCCTAACCCCTGTCTTCCTGCCTCACCCCAGATTCTTTGCCTCAAAACTCCTCCATATTGTTCTCTCCCTGCAATCTGGTTCCCTGTCAGCTGCTCTGGTTGCGTGGCTCCCAGCCTGTGTGGTTCAAGTCCACCAAGTTTTGGATGCTCCAGAAGTTCCAGTTCTGCCTTGAGACATTTGGTCACAGAGCCCCTGACACTGAGGCACCCACCCAACTTTCAGCATCCTGTAGAGGTAAGGAGAATCTTTTCAGCTGTGCATTCTCAAAATGTGCTGAACTGGGGTTGAACTCCCCTTTCAGCATTTATCTCCTCGTCAGACTTCCTGGTTGTGTTGTGCTGGGGATGAATGGAGAGGCAGGCAACACAAACTTCTACATCTCAACTCCGGGTTAGAAACTAAGAATCAAATGCCTTAATACTTCCTTCAAGGAACATTGTCCTTGCCCCACAGCTACCCCTAACTCTCTACCAAACACTGAGTTTGTCACAAAGTATCTACATGAATCTTCAGCTTTATCTTCTCGCAGTTCAGCAGAAAAGAGCCAGCTAGCAGACACAGTCATTCACTCAGCATTTTCTAGGCTTCCTCTCCTTCCAGCCTTCTTGTTGTCCAACGAACATCTTCAGATCTCCACGGACCACCTGCTGGGAATTTGTGATTATCGTTGACAAGAAGAGTTGACATCTGTAGACCTGTGCTTCAGTTGTCTCTAATGGTATTGGCTGTTTCCTAATTAGGGGGTGTCACTGCTTACTGTCTTCAAAGGTAGGAGAACGTGTCAAGCACTTTATCAGCTGGTGTTTAGGAAGCAGCTGTGTGTCAGGTAGGCAAGAACACAGAGCTAGCTGACATGGACACAGCAGTTGTCTCAGGAGTCAGTGTGGCAGGGGTGCAGAGAGGTCTCTGCACTCTTCAAGCCTTTAAGGGGCTGAGTGAAGGTCGTGCAGTATGCCATCCAACACCCTCTCCAGCACTAACTGCCCAGGGAAGTGGGGAAGGCACCATCCCTGGAGGTGCTCAAGGGAAGGCTAGATGTGGCACTTAGTGCCATGGTCTGGCTGGTGTGGTGGTGTCAGGTCATAGGCTGGACTTGAGGATCTTAAAGGTCTTTTTTCCAGCCACAGTCAGAATGGGGAAAGGGGTCTTGTAGCTTCTGACAATCGGTCTGCAACTTCAGGCTGGGGATAGTGCCTGGGCACTGGTGAGGACAAACAAGGCCTCAGGGGAGGCATTCAGAGCCAGTTGAGCTTGAATATAGTGCTCAAGCACAGGGGGAAGGTATATGGTGTTTTCTGGAAATTCTCTGCTGCAGAGGATGGAGGCACCCAGCTGCCAACCTAGCCTCATGCTTCAGGAGGTGTGCTGCTCATCAGAGGCTATGACTGAATAAGCTGCAGAGACTGCCAAGGTTTGTGTGGCCCTTGGACTATTACTCATTGCTGCTCTTCCACGTGGACAGCGGTGACACTGCCAGGAAGAACCAGTTCATGTGCAATTATGGAGCCCTGTGGGAGAGGCTGAAGGGCATGGGAGCCCACCTGGTGTTCTTCAGTCCTTTCCTTCAATGAAAGGGAAAGGATTGGTAGAAACAGACTCATCCTACAGGTCAACAACAGGTTGCATGACTGGTATCACAGGCAAGACTTCTATTGCTATGACTGCAGGACCCTCTCTGAGGGGTTGAAAACGAACAGGATACCTCTGACCAGGTGGGACAAAAGTGTCTTAGCAATCAGGCTTGAAAACCTAGCAAGGAGAGCTGTAAAGTAGGTGCGTTGAGAAAGTAATATGAAGAAAAGTGGGGGCACAAGGAGCTGAGCAGATGTGTTCAGGGATGTGATGTCAGGGAAGGCTCTCACACTTCCCATGAAAAACTAGCATGACTTGGGGCCCATCTCAAATGCCTATACAGAACTTTGTGAAGCATGCGGAGAAGAAAGGAGGAAGTCCAACATCTCCATGAACAGCAATTTGGCTGGGTGCAAGAAAGCCAGGAGGTTGATGTTGTGTGTTAAGCCTATTTTGTGATAGAGGTGCTTGATGAACCAGCTAGGAGAGACATCCTGTTGGATGTGCTACTCACAAACAAGGAAGAGCTTGTTGAAGATTGGAAAGTCAAGGGCAGCCTTAGCTGCAGAGGTCATGAGGCTGGAGTTTATGATCCTGAGAGGAAAGAGCAAGACAAACAGCAGAATTACAACTCATGGACTTCAGAAAAACAGATTTTGCCTCGATCAGAATCCTGCACAGACCCCAAAGAGGATGGAGAACAGTAAAGTGTACCTGGAGAAGGCAGAATTTAAGGTTACAGGCTGTAACCTATTTAATATAAGTTGTGTGAATTTCTGTCTTGCAGAGCAAAAGCTTCCTCCTGAAGAGCAGGTGATGGAAGAACCACCAGCATTTAACATGAGTTGGGACTGGCCAATTTCACCACTGTCAACCAGACTGTGTGACTTTTCCAGGTTCAGGGCAGTGGTGGCACTACAGAAAGCAAATGGCTCCTGGGCCCTCACATCAGCCTTGGCCTCTGCCTTGGGGCTCAGCAAGGCTGATGTTGATGAACAAAGGCCCAATGAGGTAAGCAGATCAGGGGCAGGAGTTTAACACTGTCATGAGCTGGACCTTCCTGTTTCAAGCTTCCAGTCTGAGCTGAGCTGAGAGGAAGAGATGAAAGCAGTTGGGATATAAAGCCTTGTGGAAGGGGTGAACTGGGGCTGTGGGTGGAATCAGCAGAGACACCTGAGAACTTCTCAATTGGGAGGATTTCAGAAACTTGGAGGGTTTCTGTGTATGTGTGGAGGTCTTACTTCTTTCATGTGCTGTTAGGTTTGATCTTTCTTTTTCTTTCTTCCCCCTGATTGTTCTGTTTCTCCTGCAGAATGTGCAGACAACTGTCTGGGCCACAGTTTTGGCCTTAGTCTGGCTGCACCAGTACAAATGGAAGGTATCTTGGTCAGAGCTTCTGGAGGCCAAAGCTTGTAGGTGGCTGTGGGACCAAGCTGGTAAGAAGGTTTTGCTGGGAGGACTCACACTCTGGGTGGTTCCCACCAAAACCACAGCTGCCACTCTGACCCATGGCCCTCTTTCCTGGTACTCCTGCAGGGCAACTTATAAGACTTCCAGTACAGACTGTCTTCCTTTACTGACCTGTGGTCCCTCTCTGCTTTTTCTCTCTGCTTGCAGAGGTGCAGCTGGATGAATGTCTGGAGGCAGCAAATAGGCTGTTAGGCTGCTTTGTGGAGCCCACCATCTTCAGGATTTGAATTTACCCCACTGCTGGGGCTGGGCAAGAAGCTGTATAGGAACACAGCCAGGACAGCTGACCCAACATAGCCAGGGAGATATTCCGTAACATTTTTATTATGCCTTGTGAGAGGGGAGGAAGTGATGGCAGCAGTGGCTGGCTGGGTGTGCAGTTGCTGACCATGGCTAATCCACTGCAGCTGACTTGTTGACACATTTGTTCTCTACCATGAGAGTTTTCTGAAAAATAACCCTAACTATATGTATACTAAACTGAGCTGCATTTTTCCACATTCTGCTTTGCTCTGAGGTTTACCCAAATAGTTATCAGCTCAAAATACCAGATCCCAGGGAGCAAAATTCTGTTCAGATACTGCAGAAAAACACATTCTACATAAATCATTCCTCCCCTCTCTCTCTCTCTCACTCTGTACTTTTCTTTCTTTTTTTAATAAGAAAGCAAGACCAGTGTTACTTGGTTTTGCAGTCATTGATTCACCCTCACAAGCTATGGAACTTTTTTTTTTTTCTGTTTTCTGTTTGTTTGGGTTTTTTCCATGAAGGGTTTGTCAAATAAAGGGGTGGATTTCGTTGTATCACTGCAGGGCCTGCTTAAGTGCCCAAGGCCATTTCAGCTTTTCAGAGGTATCTGAAACACCTTCCAGACAGGAAGAGGCAGGACAGAAAGGATGGATCTTCTGAAGTAGCAGCTGGAGAGTAAATGGAATCCCACATGGCGTGGGATTCAGTTCTCTAAACATAGGTGCCCAGAGCCATGGTCTAGGATTTTCAGGTGTACTGGGTTTACATGGCAAGGTTTTGCTAGTGGGGAGGCAGCAGAGGTAAAAGACCACCCCATCACAGTCACAGATTTCCAAAACAGACCCACTGCTGACCAATGCTGACTCAATCAGCAAAGCTGGTGACATCCCTGAAAAAAAAAAAAAAAAAAAAGTATTTAAAAAAAAAGGTAAGAAATGCCACACAAGGAGGGGAAAAGAGTTTGAGAACAGCAGTGCAAACACCATGGCAAGAGGAGGGGAGGAGGTATTTCCCTGCAGCCCATGATGAAGCAGATATTATTGCTGCAACCCATGGAGGGCCCCTAAACTGAAGTAGATCATAGAATCATAGAATGGTTTGGATTGGAAGGGACCTTAACAATCATTTAGTTCCAACCCCTGCATGGGCAGGGACACCTCCCACCAGACCACAGTTCTCAGAGCCCCATCCAACCTGCCCTTGAACACTTCCAGGGATGGGGCAGCCACAATTTCTCTGGGCAACTTCTTCCAGTGTTCACCACCCTCACACTACAGATTTTCTTCCTAAATGTCTAACCTAAATTGCCCCTCCACCAGTTTTAATCCATTATCCCTTGTCCTTTCACCACAAGCCCTTGTAAAAAGTCTCACCCCTGCTTTCCTGTAGACCTCCTTCAGATACTGGAAGGACACTATGAGGTTTTACATGGAGCCTTCTCTTCTACAGACTGAACAGCCCCGCCTCTCCCAGCCTGTCTTCACAGGAGAGGTGCTGCAGGCCATGGATTATTTTTGTGGCACTTCTCTGGACTTGTTTCAACAGGTCAATGTCCCTCTTATGTGGGAGACTCCAGAACTGGACACTGTGCTCCGGGTGGGGTCTCACAAGAGAAGAGCAGAGGGAGAGAATCACCTCCTTTGACCTGCTGGCCACAATTATTTCGGTGCAGCCCAGCACACCATTGGCTTTCTGGGCTGCAAATGCAAAGGTTGGCTCATGTTGAGCTTCTCATCTACCATCACCCCCACATCCTTCTTCTCCAGACTGTTCTCAATCCATCCTCCATTCAACCTGTGTTTGTAGCTTGGGGTTGCCCCAACCCAGGTGCATAACCTTGCATTTGGCCTTGTTGAACTTCATGCAGCTTGCACAAGCCCACATCTAAATCCTGTCAAGGATATGCTGGCTGTCACAAATCACCCACATGCTTTAGCAGAGCCTTCAGGAGGATCTGCTCCATGATGTTGCCAGGTACAGAGGTGAGACTGACTGGCCTGCAGCTCCCTGGGTCTTCCTTTATTCTCTTTCTGAAAATGGGGGTGATGTTTCCCCTTCTCCAGTCAGTGGGAACATTGTCAGACTGCCAAGATTTTTCAAATATGATGGACAGTGGCTTTGTAACTTCATCAGCCAGTTCCTTCAGGAGCCTGCTGGCCTAACTAAAAGGCAAGAAGTAACTGCACAAGCAGTTCAACCAGGGACTGGTATCTTGGGAAGAGCAGAGGGACACTGATCAGTCATGCCAGTATGGGGTCAGGAAGGCCAAAGCATGGCTGAAGCTGAACTTGGCAAGGGATGCAAAGAATAACAAAAAGGGCTTCTATAGGTTTATCAATCAGAAAAGGAAGGTTAAGGAAAATGTCCTCCCCCAATGAGCATGGATTGCAAACTAGTAACAACAGACAAGAAGGAGGCTGAGGTTCTCAATGACTTTTTTGCTGTGGTCTTCACTGGCAACCTCTCTCCTCTCACCTCCCAAGTTGAAGGATCTCAAGATGGGGACCAGGAGGAGGAAGCCCCCCCCATGTAAAGACAAGGTTCATGATCACCTGAGGAGCCTGGAACAAGTTGTCCAGAGAGGTGGTGGAGGTCCCATCCTTGGAGACATTCAGGGTCATGCTTGACGAGGCTCTGAGAAACCTGATGTAGTTTAAAAATCCCTGTGCACTGCAGGGGCTCTGGACTAGATGGCCTTTAAAGGTCCTTTCCAACCCCACACATTATATAATTCTATGAGACATGGATGAAACCTGTCAAGTCTCATGGACTTGTGCACCTTCAGGTCCTTCAGGTAGTCACGAACCCGCTCTTCTCCTACAGTGGGGAGATTTTCCTTTTCACAGTCCCTGCCTTCTCCTTATCTAACTTGGATGATGTGACCAGAGCTGTTGCCAGTGAAGACTAAGGCAAAGTAGTCACTGAGTACCTCAGCTTCTCTATGTCCTGCATGACCAAATCTCCAGTGTCTTGAACTTGGCCCACATCTTCCCTCATCTTTCTCTTATTGCTGACATACCTATAGAAACTTTTCTTATCTTTAACATCCCTGGCCAGATCCAATTCTATCTGTGTGTTGGCCTTCCCTCCTTACCTGAAGCCAGCTTCTCTGATGACTTGTCTGTGCTCCCCCCAGGACACCTGGCCCTGCTTCCACTCTCTGTAAACCTTGGTTTTACTTTTTACTATTTCCAGGAGAGCCTTGCTAACCCACACAGGCCTCCTGGCTTTCCTGCCTGTTCCATTTGTTGGGACACATTGCTCCTGGTCATGAAGGAGGCGATCCTTGAATACTGATGAGCTTTCCTGGGCTCTCCTCCAGGGTTTGGTCCCATGGTACCCTACCAAGCAGATCCTTGAAGAGACCAAAGTCTGCTGTTTTGCAGTCAAGGGTAGTAGGCTTGCTTCATTCCTTCCTCACTGCCCTAAGGACCCTGAATTCAACCATGTCATGGTTGCTACAGCCCAGTCATCCATTAAGTCAGCCTGTGTCATCAACCAGCCTGTCTCTGTTGGTGAGACCAAGGTCCAGCAAAACACTTTTTCTTGTTGGTTCCTGTATCATTTGGAGGAGGAAGTCATCATCACTGCACTTCAGGAACTTCATGGATTGCTGGTGCTTTGCTGTGTTGTCCCTCCAGCAGATATCAGCATGGTTGAAATCCCCCACGAGAACCAGGGCCTGTGAAGGTGAAACTGCTCTTATCTGCAAAATCTCTCTGAATCTCATATCTGAAAAACTCTCAACACTGAGCACTCACATCTGGTCATCTGCTCCACCATACCAGGATCCAGACGGCCTTTGTGTTCATCTTGGAAGAAAAGTTCCACAAAAAAGGGTAGCAGGAGGAGGAGTAGAAATATCATAGAATCATAGAAAAGTTTGCGTAGGAAGGGACCGTAAAGCTCATCCAGATCCAACCCCCCTGCATGGACAGGGACACCTCCCAGCAGCCCAGGTTGCTCCAAGCCCCATCCAACCTGCCCTTCAACACTGCCAGGGATGGGGCTTCCACAACCTCCCTGGGCAACCTGTTTCAGCATCTCACCACCCTCATAGTAAAGAATTTCCTCCTAGTATCTGATCTAAATCTCCCTCTTCAAGTTTTAAACCATTGCCCCTTGTCCTCTCACTACATGCCTGTGCAAAAAGTCCTGCCCCAGCTTTCTTGTAGGCCCTTCAGGTACTGGAAAGCCACTAGAAGGCCACCCAGGAGCCTCCTCTTCTCCAAGCTGAACAACCCCAACTCCCTCAGCCTGTATTCACAGGGGAGCTGCTCCAGCCTCTGATCAGTTTTCTCACCCTCATCTGGACTTTCTCCAGGAGCTCCATGTCCTTCTTATGTTGGGGGCTCCAGAACTGGACACAGTGATCCAGGTGGGGTCTCACAAGGGCAGAGTAGAGGGGGAGAATGACCTCCTCGACCTGCTGGCCAAACTTCTTTTGATGCAGCCCAGGACACCATTGGCTTTCTGGGATGCAAGTGCACCAGTTGGCTCATGTTGAGCTTCATATAGTTTGGAGTAAACGGGAATTTTCTAATATGCCTCAAATACTTCTTTACCATTTTGAATTAAAAATAGTAAATGCATAAAGGAATTGATGAACACCCCCAAGTCCTTTTCCTCAGGGCTGTCCTCAGTCCCTTCTCCATCCAACCCGACTGGCAGCATCATCAAATAGCACTGTAACTCTTGGGCATGGAACCTGCCAGAGGGAATGTCTGGGTGGCACAGCCAGTGCAGACTGTGCTGCATCTGCATTTCAGTGCTTGGTGTAGCTGCCACTGCTCGGCTGTGCCTGGCTTATTTGTCTTGCATTTTGCTGCTCTCCTGCTGTGGCTGCAGCCAGGTTGGTCCTTCAACACCCAACATGCACTCTGCCTGTAGCAGCTGTGTTCCCTGGTGTATGGTTTTGGGGAAAGACCTGGTGGCAAAAGACTGCAGGGGGGAGGAGAACTTCTCCAAGGGGCTGTGA